GAAATATATCTGAATAGGTCACTCTATTGTCTTTGTAAAACTTTAAAGGTTTTGCACTATAACATAATAATGTGTTCTTTGTTATTTAATTGAGTGAAGAAATATTCTTGATGGTGTGCAACAGTTTGCTAAATTGCATATTGTAGTTTGCAAACTGCAGTCTGAAATTTTGCAGTTGCCATTTTTGCAAAATACAATCTGCAATTTTATAGACTGCAGTTTGCAAACTGTATTATGCAACTTTGCAGTTGGCATTTTTGCACTAGTGATTGTGAAGTTGAAGACTTAAACATATTCTTTTCCTCTTTCTTTTGCATTAAATATTTGGGGTGCTTTTGTCTTAATCTTTTCTTGAATTTACAATATATGTGTGTTGTCATTTTTGAGAATATACATGGGAATTGAAGATGTTTTTTGTATTAATGGTTTTGTAGGTTGTGAAAATGCAAGAGTGTTTTTTTGATAAAGCACAATTGGGAATGGAAAATGGTTTTTGTTGTTAGAATTTTTGAATGATTGGAAAGTATTAACTATTGTTCATAGTTAATTTTCCAATCATGTTGGTATTATAATGTAAAAATGATTGGTGCATACTTGTTAGGCATATATAAAGCTTTTTGTATATGAATGTTTATTTGTTACAAAATGTAATATGATATATGAAGCATATTAGATTTTATAGATGTAAATGATGTTGGGTGCCTATTTACTAGGCACATATGCAAACTTTTTGTTTATGGAGGTTCACCATTAATGAAATGTTCATTGGAAAATTAGTGTATCATTGTTTATAAATTGTATTGTTTAAATAAAAACTATAACAATTTTATATATGCTATAACAGATACATTGATAGCACTTTCAAAATGTTATGGAAAATAATTTTGTAACATTTACTAAATGTAATGAATGATACTTTAGTAGCATTTTTAACATATTATTAAAAACTATTCTATAACATTTAACAATGTTATAGAAAACTAAACTGTAACAGGTTAAGAATGTTACAAAAAAACTTACTTATAGCATTTGGAGAATGTTATAAAAAAATAAATTGTAACAAGTTAAGAAAGTTACAGAGAACTTATTTATAACATTTTGAGAATGTTATAGAAAACTAAATTGTAACAAGTTAAGAATGTTACAAAAAAAAACTTTTTTATAGCATTTTAAGAATGTTACAAAAAATTAAACTGTAACAGGTTAAGAATGTTACATAAAACTTATTTATTGCATTTATGCAGTGTTACAAAAAATTATTCGTAACTACCAATAAGTGCTACAATATACTTAACAACAACATTTTATGACAGTGATTGAAATGATTAATAACATGCAAAAAGTGTTACCAATGTCTACTTTTTAGTAAAATAGGTTGTCACAACATCCTTATAAATGCTACGAATTACTCACGATAACACTTTTTGCATATTACTGTAGGCCATTTTTCTTATAGTGATGGTACAACATTGATTTTTTTTTTTATTGGATGAACCGGAAATTATTGATTTTTTTTTCATTTATAAATTAACATATAGTTTGGATAATACTACACTTACAACTCAATCTCACGAACTTTCTCTCATAACCTTAACGTTGCACCTCGCAAATAGGTCTCGCTTGCCCATTATGGGTCTTGCTTGTCCAATTACAAGCTGTCACGTCGAGGTTATAAGAGAAAGTTTATAAGATTGAGTTGTGAGTCAATCTTTATCCATATAATTTTTATTTAAAATAATATTCATTTACTTATATCACAATTATATTATATATAAGTTTTTTTATTATTATTATCCATCTTTCTCGGGTTTTATGTAACAATCTTTTACACTGAGAATTCATTAGTCTTAATTATAAGATACAAATATTAGCCTTTTGTGAAAAAATTCTAATACTTGTTATATAAGACCTCTTTTTTTTTCTTTTTTCTTTTTTTTTTTAGTGCAAAAATTTGAATTATAAAATCATGGGACAAATTTGTTTATGTTTATGGGATAAAAAATATTTGATTCAAACTATAAATTACTATGGCTTTATTTTCCCAACATAGAAATGAACAATATTTATTCGAGACTTCAATATTATTATAAGGAAATTGCTCCCAAACAAAACTTCTTATTATAAGAAAAGAGCCCTAATCACACACTTAATTCTACTAAGATTTGCGAGGATTTCAGCTTCACATACTACAAATATGAAATATCATTAAATTAAGATGATCTAAAATTAAAAAAATAAAATAAAAAGTAAATTTCTTTGTTCTTTTTGGCACAATGTCAAATTAAACCATTTTCTTATTCGCCAATAGATCATGGGTGTACAGTCACACTGCATTATTTTCATAACATAATCAAACTATATATTATAATTCATTTGTATCATATTACAGCTGCCCCGAAGATCACGAAAAGGCGAAAACTACACTGGCGATTGACAAATTCAAATCATGTAGAACCCAACAACAGTCTCATATATCATTTATAAATTAAATCAAGTTGGAATTTAATTTCTCTTTTGGAAGGAGGCAAGAAAGCATGTGATAATTCTTCGAAAAAATCTAGCTATTAGGTATCATACCACCACTTATGCATATTATATATTGAATAAGACACCAGATAAGACCAAGAACCTTTTACATTGACTTATTCAATTACATGAATTATAAACTATAATAATCTATATGGTATATTCAGGGGTGGATCTAGAGTATATAAATTTTTTCTTTTAAAATATTTATATGTAATTTTTTCTTTTCTTTTTATGTCAATTTCAACTAAAAACATAAAATATGAATATTATATGCTATTATATTTTATTTTGACCTATCCTAACAAGAATTTCTTATCCGCTACTGGGTATAATATTAATGCAACAAAAGTCTCACATGCAGACCCCTTTAGTCTTGAATCTTGATCAATATTTCAATGACTAGATTTTGATTTTCTTTATTGTTAGGTGTTATAAAACTACCCCCATTATCCCATCTTTGCTTACGTGGCTTCCACTAGATCTGATTTCTGGCTTTGTCAGAGCTCATCGCCAGTCAAAATCTGCCATCTGGCTCAAGTCAAAGATGTCCAAGTGCGATGGAATTGAACTAGTTGCCTTTTGTATCATAAGTTGACTTTTATTGGGGTTTAAGGTTTTGACCATGAAATGGTTGTTAATATTAGAAGAATGTTTTGACCATCAAAACGGTATGTCTCTCTTCATTTAATTTTTGCATTTTATGGCACATCACGTGTGTGTGGAGATCTCACACGCTTAGTCAACTTTACATGCATGTGAGTTTCATCACAAAATGAATTAGCACAATTAATTATACATTCGTTCTATAATCTATAGAATAAGGATTTATTTACTGTATTATCAAATTAATTTCAAATTACAACAATATAATGAAAAAATATATATATATATATATATATATATATATGATTCAAAGTTTACTTTTTACCATGAATCATAGGCTGTATTCTAATTAACAATATTTACAAGAGAGATTAAACTATAATATGTATTAAAGAATAGTTAAACTCGGATAAGCAAATTGGAGATTGGCCTTAGTAGTATTCTCTTTTGGATTCTTTTTTTTTTCTTTTTTTTCTTTTTTTATGACCGAGAGTGTCCAAACTAGCTTATATACAACTCAACTAATCTTTTAGAACCCTGAAATAAACGATCCGATAAATCACTTCAATAGCTAAAAGATTTAAATTCAGAAACTCATGTTGGACCTCTTTGAGTGGTGGTTTTCTCCTAGGGATTCTCTCCAAAAAAAAATATATATATATTTACTGTTTTATTGTTGTTGCAACTACCAACAAATATCCATGGTGTTTAATCAAAATTAAACTTGAAATTAATGAAAATGACTATGATTACATGGTTGAAAAAGAGAGATCTGAAAGTAATGATCCATTGCCTGGAAGGAAAATCTATTAAACCCAATGATGAGTAAACATTTGATCACAACAGATAATTAATTAATAGATTAATAATTCCATAGACCTCCTTCAAAGTCAACTTTAATTAATTAACTAACCTTGTTATTGAGGCCTTCCATGTCATTTTATAGTGATTGGGATTTTACAAAAACAATTACCAGGTAATTCAAGCAAATCACCAACACAAATACACTCTTTTCAAAGGGATTACTGACAAAAGGCCAATGGTGAACAAGCCATTTTCGAAGGTAATTATTTATTATTAGCAATACAATAATCTACAATGTCAAGTCAAAGGTCCAAGGAGCTTTTGATTCTATTTTGACAGAGAATGGGGTAAATAAAATTTAATAAATTCAGAGTTGGCTTTTTGGATCGTCTCTAGTTGAAACTATACTTGTGTCTTTTATTACCTAATATGAACACATTATACCTTTTTGCAGGTCTAATTTAAGTGTCGAATTACTTCATATGAGCCTTACGTGAGTTAGCCCATCACTTCCTTTTCACGTTTGTAATTTAGCCATCTATGGAGTCTCTCGCAGAAAATTGCTTACTTGTAAATTTTTGGTGTTTTCTTTTTGAATTTGTTTCATTAGATGCAATATCTTTATATTTTTTCCCTTCCAAGTTACACTTTTTTCTTCTCTTAATTTCTACAAAAAAATAAATTCTCATATTAGTTGAATTGACTAATGACAAATTATATCCCCTCAGTCCTCATCCATTACCTAACAATTTTCTCAACAAAATTTCATTCTTTCTTCTGCAATGCTAATGCCAACTCGCCTATAAATTAAAAAGACTATGACTTGTGAAGAAAAAAAAGGGAATAAGTGTTCATCTTCACTTTTTCTTGAATAAGCAAGCAAACCCATTTGAATTATCCCTTCTGCAAGCAAATTTAGTCATAAATTTCTCAAAACGACTTGCCTAAATTTGGCTCAAAGCCATTAACAAGTAAATAAAGTGTACTGTTATATTCATTTACGTATCTACATGCACAGTCAACCCTTCCCTATATTAAGTATTTTCTTAGTTCTTAAATTCTCTTGTATACTCAAGCTTTATAACTCCATGGACAACGCGGTCTTTTGTTAACCATTAACGATAGTACAGTTGTGAACACGAGCTGATTCAGCTAGCTTTTGTTGAAGAAGAAAAGGTTCTTTAATCTGGTGTTTCCTTGATTTCCTTGGTTCATTTTCTTTATACACAAGGTAATGCTTTTGTTCAATGTTAATTTTGTCGATTATATTTCTCTTGCACTCAACTTCTCTGGACATATACTCTTGATTTAGGGAAATTTGTGACAATATCATGTTTTTTGTAATACTATAATCTGCTGGGGCGCTCAGGGTTTTGTAAATGAACTTTGAGTTCATTGATGGCAAAAAATATGCTTTGATCGGTTTCTAATTAACTCTAAAGGGTCAGCACTGATTGATATTAATTCTAATTGAAATGGGGTTGTGCCAAAAACGCAGGGATAGCCCTTTTATGCGGCAGCAAAGCTGCCTTTTAAGTGGTGTCTTAAGGAAGGTTATCAAGGCATAATGAATGAAAAGTAAGAGTAATCAAGGTTGAGGTAACGCGTAATTCAACAAATTTAAGTGTTAAAATATTGAACTTTATTAATGTAAACGTTTAGCCCATGTGACCCTTGATGCATTTCCCATGGGGTGCTTCATCTTCACTTTAAGGCATCTTTTTCATTTATATAAATACAAATGGCAAAGGATCTGTTGCTCTTCAAACTTCAAAGCTACAACCCATTAAAAACTTCTCAACTCCTCTCATTCTTTCTTTTATAGACACTAATCACGGTAACAATCCATGATATTCAATTCGTAATTTGAGTTTTGGGTACTGGTTTGTGGCATGTTTGAACGTTTTCTAATGTAACTTCTGTTTTTGGACTTGTTTTTGGCTTTCTTGCAGGCGAAATTATAATTTGTTCATCTGTGAGATGGGTTTGATTAGGGGTCCGAATATGAGAAGTGGAGATTACCTGGAAGGGATGCTAAGTGATTATGTGGGAGGAAAGGCGAAGCTAAAGGCTCACAAGAGTACTTCAGCGAAACTTGTAACTGCTCTCACATGCCTTCAATTTGCGTTTGCAGTGTATGCAACATTCCTTTTGTATTACATGAGCCCGGCTGTGGATTTGCGGACCAAACCAGACTTTACATGGGCGACAAGAATAGCGAAAAACTGGAGACAGTTCATCATCCCGCCACACTTTGTTGGTCACTACCAAGAAGCTGCTAATTATCTTGTTCAAGCTGAAATCGTACCCATTACTCCATCAGAAGTTTGTGAGCACGAGAAGATTGATTTTTCGCAAAAGAAGTCGAATGATGCGCACATGATCAAGCTGAAGAGGGAGTTATATGAAGAGATATTGGATTTTCAGATGAAGTCTGTGGGTACCGAGAGTCTAAAAGAGCTCATGGCAATGAAATCTAAGTGGGATTTGCGCGGTCCAAATAGACCGAAAGTGACAGTAATCTTAAACCATTTCAAGAGAAAAACACTTTGTGCACAACTTGATTCATTGCTTCAACAGACGCTTCCGTTTCACCATGTTTGGGTACTTGCATTTGGGAGCCCAAATGAGCTCTCATTGAAGAGAATTGTAGATAGCTATAACGATTCAAGAATCAGCTTCATTAGTTCAAGCTATGATTTTAAGTACTACGGCAGGTTCCAAATGGCTCTTCAAACTGAAGCTGATCTTGTATATATTGTCGATGATGACATGATTCCAGGCAAAAAAATGCTACAAATTTTATCACATGTAGCAGGGACAGAGAAGTACAAAAATTCGGTTTTGGGCAGCATCGGAAGGATCTTGCCTTTTCGACAAAAGGACTTTACCTTTCCAAGCTATAGAAAGTTCAGATCAAAAGAGGCAGGACTTTATTTGCCTGACCCTGCTTATGATATCACAGTTGATAAAATTGTGCAGGTGGATTTTCTTTCTAGCTCATGGTTTCTATCTGCAGAGCTCGTTAAAACTCTTTTCATCGAGACGCCTTTCACCTTCATGACCGGAGAAGATCTTCATCTCAGGTATGTTACTTCGTCGTGATCGAAAACTTTTCAACATTTAGTTCATTCTTATTTATTGTTTTCATGGAGAGAGAGAGAGAGAGTTTTTACAAGATTAGTTCTAGTTTTGGGGTAATAAATTTTAATTAAATACTGTTCCTCATCTCATTGCATAGTTTGACCAAACCAAAATGTGAATTTATGTTGGGTTGTTCACCTGTTCAATAATATATATGTGACTTAAATATATAATTTTGAGTAAGTATTAATCAAACAAATAAATTTTATCAGAACAATTATACAGTATTAATTATATGAGGAGTCATTATATGTTTAGCTAATCATTTTAGAAATCTATCATAGTTTAATTGTAGATTGAGTTGAAACTGATTCAGGGAGCATTTCACGTACTGAATAAAATTTTCTGCCAAAAAGAGTCTTATTATAATAAGCTATTTCTATGAATAATTAGGTCAACTCTTCTATGTTAATATAATGTTAACCAATCCAGAATGGGTACCCTATACCCTATTTCCACTACTAAAATTTCGGCATCTCCTTATTTGTCTGTTCTGAGTTGTTTATTTCACATTATTTGCAGTATAATTTTCTTAAAGAAGCATAAAACACTCTTTTCGAAAGACCACTCACTTCTTGAGATTCCTTGCACCACTATGTGCACATTATTATTAGATTTGTGTTAGCAGGGAATCTATTGCTAACACCATTAAAGATTATATGTTTTGATAGCAAATATTTGAAAGTATAATGGTTAACAACTGTACTTAATGAAATTAAGAAAATATTATGCATTTGTTTTTTCACCTAAAGTAATTTACTTTATGGCTACTGCATGTTAATAGCAATTATGAAACATTTATGTTGAGATTCTAATAGTTATAATTTCTACAAACATTTGCAGCTATCAGCTGCAGAAGTACAGAGATGCAGGCTCTTTTGTTCTTCCAGTTGACCCTAATGACAAAGAAACTTGGGGTGACAGTGAACACAGACTTGCTTATGTTTCCGAAACCACTGTAATTTTCAAAGATATTGTTCAAGTCCGAGATGACCAATGGTGGAAAGCATTTTCTACTGGTTATATAACTCAGTGGGCTGCAATGCACCCTCAAAAGATTGATGCACTCTTCTATGCTCACTCTGTTGATGAAGTTCGTGCACTTGCGCCCCTTCTTGAGAAATTCAGATCCACTGTTGGCAAGAAGGCGTACATTGTTGTATCTGGAGGCAAATTTTGCCCTTGTGAAGATGCTGCCTCTGCTCTCAAGTGGCCTAAGTTGGTTTGTAAAGAGCGAAGATTTAAGATATTCGATTTGGCAGTCGGGGCGCTGTCGGACTTATCAAAATCAGAAGTGCCAGTGGTGCAAGCAGTGTACTCTAGTATGAAGGGATTGATCAAAATTCACAACCCCAGTGTGGTGATCACAGTTTCTGACATTGATTCTCATGTAAAGAAAGCTTTGAAGATGGCAACTGAGACTAGTTCAAATGCCACAACATTGGTTCTTTTGCCTAGGCCTTCTGTTCCAAAGGTTCTTTGGATGGCTGATCTAAGATCAACCGCACTACCAAGTAAGAGTCCTTACATTTTAAAGCTTTAATCCTATATTTATTTCAGCTTTAGAGGACTAAATTGTTAATCAATTTGCAAATGCAGATTGGAACCGGATGCGGATTTCTATTAACATAATTACACAAAACCGTGTTCAATCATTGACAAGGCTTCTCAAATCTTTAAGCAATGCATACTATCTTGGGGATGAGATCCCAATCAGCTTCAACATGGATAGTAAAGTGGATGAAGCAACTATAAGAATGATAAGCTCTTTTGAGTGGCCTCATGGTCCTAAAACACTCAGAAGGAGAATCATCCAAGGAGGCCTAATTCGCGCAGTGAGTGAAAGTTGGTACCCTGCATCTGATGACGATTTCGGTCTCCTTCTTGAAGATGATATCGAAGTTTCTCCTTACTACTACTTGTGGATCAAATATGCTCTCTTGGCCTACCACTATGACCCTCAAGTTTCATTTCCAGAGCTCTCATCCATCTCTCTTTACACTCCTAAATTAGTTGAAGTAGTCAAAGAAAGGCCTAAATGGAACCCAACTGAATTCTTCAAACACATTCACCCACACACACCATATCTCCACCAGCTACCCTGCAGTTGGGGTGCAGTTTTCTTCCCTAAACAATGGAGAGAATTCTATGTTTATATGAACATGAGGTTCACTGAAAACGCCAAGGAAAACCCGGTTCAAATCCCAAAATCTAGAACAAATGGATGGCAAGCTTCATGGAAAAAATTCCTCATTGACATGATGTACCTTAGAGGCTACGTCAGTCTGTATCCAAACTTTCCAAACCAAGCAAGCTTTTCGACAAACCATATGGAGCCAGGGGCTCATATCAGGGCGAAGGACAATGTTGTTCAGCATGATAAGTCTGATTTCGAGGTGCCACTATTGAAGGATGATTTCAAAACGTTGTTGCCAAACGGAAAGCTCCCGCCTGCATCGAAATTGCCATCGGTAAACTTGTTCAACCAGCCCGTTTCTCTGAAGGGTCTCAAGGCTGCTGGTGCCAAGTTGGGTCAAGATGTTCTAAGTTGTGACAATGCCACGGAGATTGTTGTTGTTGATCATCAAACGGGTCTGCCACATCGCTGTGCAAAATTCTGATGATTATCAATTGTGATTACTGATTACTAATTCTTTGTTTCTTTCAGAAAGATATATAGTCTTGTAATTTTTGTATTTCCTTTATTTTGTTGATTATGATTATTGGAGGGAGGGGAAATTGAAATAATTGTAGCCAAAAGTGGCTCTCAAATTTGTCATTTGTCCCCTAAAGAAAGGCAAATAAAAAATATATATATATATATATATATATATGCTCCTTTCCATTCGTTGTAACCTCTTTGTGTCTCCCCTTTTCTTTCCCACATTAAACACTGAAAATTATTTATATATATCAAAAGATAATGTGTTAAATTGAAATAAGCGGTGGCAATCATTAATCTAATAAAGTAGTTTCGAAATTAAAAGAAAACTGACTAATGATCTAAAGATTTAGGCCACCTAAGCATGAACATCATAAGATACATTTATTAAGGTCTGAAATTTGAAAGAAAATAGACATGTGACAGATCACCAAAATCGTATAAGGGGGATTATTTATTTATAGTTATGGCTAACCATCTAACAGGTTAGTTGGCAGAACCAAATCGCATGGAAGCAAAGCAAAAATGACATGAGATGATGGAACTCCGAGATTATTTTTATGATAGTAGGTAAGGCATCAGTTTATAATTAAAGGGGTTAATCAGGTTTCATTTGGGAATGGGATTAAAGGTACTGGGTCAAATCCATTTATTGTTAATGATGTTCCTATTTTTTTTCAATATAGACTCACTCTAAATTGTTATTATATGACTATATTTTAATAACGTCTAATTATATCATTTTAATAAGAGTAATCGACTTTTTCTCACCCAATTAATGGTTTAATGGTATTTTTTTATCCACAGATTTTTAAAATATCACTAAATTATTCAAATTTATATTCCGTTTTCGATTCTGGCATCGTTGCAACCTCACGTTACCATCATTCTCTTCTGCAATCATCACTCACCAAAATCCCTCGAACTCTACTCCTTGCTGACCCCGTCAATCGTTGGCAATCAAACAATTAAGGTTTGCGCAGTCACCCCTCTTAAGTCAAATTTTGATCAATCTCAACCACCAAAATCTAATATTTCATCACCAAAAGACTCATCAACCTTTCCTCTTAAAAAGCCTCAATAGTCTGGATTAAGTTTGTTTTTTGATTACGGTCAGAATATAAATTTGAATAATAAAATGGTATTTTAAAAGTCTATGGGTCAAAAAATGTAATAAAACGATTATTTGTGTGGAAAAAGTCGTTAACTCTTTTAATGATCTTTCAATTATATAATTCAGTAATTAAGATTTTATCCCAAATCAAAACGTCTCAATATTAATTTAAAAATCTATATTAAAATCTGAGATATTAAAAAGAATAGAAATAAAAGAAAATTTGAAAAATAGAAAAGAAAGAGAGCAGACATTACCTGGAATTGGAGCGGGCCAGGCCCAGCAGCAAGCGTCTAAGTTGGAGGGCACGCTGCACGTGGTGCCAGCCAGCCAACATACTCTAATTTAGCGGAACACCATCATCATAAACTAACAAATCTATTTCAATCAAATTACGATTTGATTAGATTTGGACACACTTGTATATTCTTACCAGATCTCAATTTTTTTCTTAAAAAAAAATAATAAATAGATGAAAAATGAAAAATATATTTTACTAATATTATATTACGTGATAATATTTCAATAATTGGAAACTAATCAATAACAGATTAGATTAAGATAAATAATTTTAAATTGATATATTTTATCTCTACTTATCGCTTTCATTTTCAGGATTGTTGTGTTATATTAAATCAAACAATAATGATTAGACACCGAATTTTTATATCGAAGGACATAAGATCCAATTAGAAGCGATCATGTTGGAGATAAAATACGTCTTCCATGAATGAATGGTCATCCAACAATTATGGATATCAGTCCATATTTGATGGACAGCTGTTCACCACAAATTGACAAACGTCCACAAAAATATCAATAAACTCTCATCCATATTATATAAACGAGTAACTATTTACTATGAATGGGTGTACATATAAGATGGACACTCATCCATAAAATTTTAAAACAAAATAATAGATGGTCATTCATCTTATATGGATAAATTGGATAATTGAATTTGGACGATTATCCATATACATTAGATAATTAAATTTGGACGGTTGTCTATATACATTAGATAATTAAATTTGAACGGAGGCCTACCTTAAATGGATGTCTGTCCATAAATTTTTAAAAGAATAAAAACTTTCATTTGTACTATATATAGCTCGGAGTTGGCCTGATACTATTTAGGGGGTGTTTGTCTAAGCTTATAAGCTGGTCAAACTTGCTTATAAGCTCTAAAATTAAGCTGACCTGTTTGTTTATAATTTTTTTGAGCTTATAAGTTGAGCTTATAAGCTAAAAAAAATAAGTTGGGGGGAGGTACTTTTTTTTTTTAGCTTATAAGTATTTTGCTTATAAGCTAGTTTGACCAAGTATATTACCATATTATCCTTATTTAATTTTAAAATTCCATAGTATGCCATTGTTTAATGTAGTACCTTTTTTAGTAATTTTATAATAAAATGTACTTATAAGCCACATTTTACCAAACACATCAATTACTTATCAGTCACTTATAAGTATTTTAACCAAATACGTAATTACTTAAAATTTTAAATACTTATAAGTTAATTTTAGTTTATAAGTAATTGTTGCTTATAAGCTAATTTTTATAAGCTCAGACAAACACCCCTTCGAAAGCAGATTTCTAACTAAAACTTTTTTTTTTGTAAACGAAGAGTCAAAAATGTCATTATGCCAAATATTATAGGCACTTGCACAGATTTTTTGCTTTATAAAAGTTTTTGTATTTAATTAATGCTCTTATTGCCAATTTCTACATTAAATGAATGACAAAGGAGCATTAAATGAGAGACAGAGTTTCTTAACTTGTTTTTCACAAATAAAATCTTTTTTTTTCTTGGATGTCAATGGACGGTCCATCTAACAGGACGGTCGTAGGCTGAATATGCAACCGTTCATATAATACGGACAGAAGTTCATTTTGATTGTTTTATAATTTTATAATTTAAGTTATGAATGGACATTTATTCAAGGTTGATATCTGTCCATAGAAAATAAAGTCTATTGATATTTTCTTACGAGATTGATTAACGGGAGTCTATTTAAAATGAACATTTATTCAATAATTATGGACGTTTGTTCATATTTGATAGATGATCGTTTATTCATAAAAGATTTATTAGTGTCTATTATTTTATTTTTAAATTTTTATGGACGAGCGTCCATATGAGATGGACATCCGTCTATTATTATTTTCATGAACGTTCATCCATTCGTGATAAACGACCGTCCATCAAATATAAACGGGCATCCATAATTATTGGATGACCATTCATTCACAAAAGACGTGTGTTATCTTTGACTTGGTCGCGTCTGATTGGATGCCATGTACATCGGTATAAAAATTGATGTCCGTAGTATTATCCTAAATCAAATACTTTGTCAAGTCATTTATTTATTTGAAACCAATATGTTTTTTTTTTTTCGATAATTAAGGATGTTTAGATTAACTTGTGCGTACTTCAACTAATCCTTTGAAACCCTAAAATTAACTACAGGATAAATCCTCCAATGACCATCTCTATTAATCGAAGCCAATATGTTGCTACATCACTTAATATAAAAACTTTGAATAAAAATTGGATATCTTAAAAACAAAATAAAATCAATCTTTCAAAAAATAAAATTTCCACCTTCAATTTCCTTATATGCTAAAAACTGATTAACAAAAGGATACTATGAAATCTACAAATTTTTGTCAAGTCATTTATTATTTTGCAAAACTGTTCAAATTTCCACTTTTAATGGCTTTTAATTTCCTTGCAGACAAAGAAATGTTCAAAAAATCTAAAATATTTTTTCAAGCCATTTATTATTACTATATTTTCACTTTTAATGGCTTTCAATTAATATTTTCACTTTATTTCTACATTATTTTGTTGATTTTCTATGAGGACATAATCTTATTCTCATTAGTGAAAGCGATAAAAACTGCAACTTTTATACGTGGCAACCATTTGTTGGTTGTGAAAAATGGTTAAATCAAACACCCGTACCACTATCAAACTTGGCTGCAAATTCAAAAATAAAGGCGGGGCAATATCGTCAGGATCGATTAAAAAAAAAGGAAAAGCAAAAGACCGGCTTCGAGTTTCGGTTGAAGCCCACAACAAACAGCAGGTGTCTCTCGTCTCTCTATATAAAACCTTTGAAAAAAAAAACTCTTGTTTCTCTCTCTTTGCTCAAGATCGATAGCCAGAGCGCGTAAGCACCAAACCCTAAAGTCTTATTTTCACCGAATTACTTCGATATCTGAAATTGCTTAGTTCTCTTGTTTCGAATTCTGTAATGTGATTTGTTGTTGTTACTGCTTTTGATTGTTGATGAGCGTTTTTGTTTGAGTTAACGATATCACATTTGAATGTTTTTGACTGTTGAAGCAGATCAACTGTGGAAATGAACTGGTTTAGCTTTGAATTACGTAATTTTGGTTCACTGTTTGCAATATTAGTCCGTGTTTGGATTTAACTTGAAAATAGTTTTTAACCGTCCAGTGTAGTGGCGCATTCTATTCATCATTCATTTGCTTTGAACAGGTTCTTCAATACATTTTAACACTTAAAATATGTCCAATAACTTAAAAAGTTTCTGATATCTTCAATAGTGGTCATTTTGAAAATTGCATTGTTTTTTATATTATATGTATTTCCTCTTCTTGAATTTTTTTTTTTTTAAATCTTTTTTAAGATATTGATATAGAAAATGGTTGGAACCAGTAATTCTTATGATTTTTTACTCTTTAATAGGCTACTGTTTGCGACAAATTTTTATGAATAATGTGTGTTGTGGATCTATTTACAGGCACGTGGATTATGCGGATTGAAATTATTGGACAAATAGAGTAGAATTGATATATTAAAATTATAAAGCTTACTTGCTACCAGGTTTCATGCTTTGTTGAAGATCCAATGCTGATAGCTTCTTGAAATAGAAGAATGAGATATTTGGTTCAAGAGGTGCTTAAGGAAGTGATTTATTTTTGTGAACATCTGACCTGTTGAGTTGGAGTGTAAGAACCTGTATGAAATGGGGACATTACACCGGAGGTTTGAATTATTCGTATATTTTGTCATTTTACTGTGATCCTTGATTGAGTTAAAGTTGTCGTATGAACTCTCATTTTTAATCTTCTAGGACTATCTTGAAGTTTTTATTTTAGAATTACTGATCTACTGCAGCCAGTAGCGTGCACACACTATGCAAACATTTTTTAATCCAGTTTCAGTTTTGCTTTGCAGCAGTCTTTCAAAAAGAACAAATGATAGTGGTAGACTTATTATAACTACTATTCTAGGAATTGTCTTTGGATTTTTCGTCGGTATATCGTTTCAATCACTTTCTCTTAACAAGGTATATTTGCCTCCATCCTAATGTACCTGTCTTGCAGTAGACACCTGTCATCAGTATTCATTTATTTTTTACTCTTGCAGATTCAATTACCGTCGAGCCTTACTTCAACCATCGAATTTGCTGTAAAAAATCAAAATCAAAACCAAATTCAAAATCAAAATCAAATTCTAAAGAGTGATCCCAGATATAATGAATCAAGCACTATTCCCAGGGTAAATATAATGTTTTTCCTTCAGACATCTTCTTATTCTTGGTTTGCTTATAATATTTGTTGCAAAGTGTTTACCTTGTTCCTATGTGATTTATTACATGATTCTGTCATTCTTTTTCTTGATTTACAAAAGTTAATTCAATTGGTACTAGTTTGATGCCCATGCACAAAATTTGGTTATATGCAACATAACCATACAAAGTAGTATTCACATTCTCTCTTAGGCGAATGAAGCTTACTAATTCTTTGACCAGCAGCAAGCGCCTAAGTTGGAGGGCAGGCCGCACGTGGTGCCAGCCAGCCTACATTCTCTAATTTAGCGTAACACCAACATCTTAACCTAACAAATCTACTTCAATCAAATTACGATTTGATTAGATTTGGACTCACTTGTATATTCTTACCAGATCTCAATTTTTTTCTTAAAAAAAAAAAAAAGGTGAAAAATGAAAAATATATTTTACTAATATTATATTACGTGATAATATTTGAATAATTGGAAAATAATCAATAACATATTAGATTAAGATAAATAATTTTAAATTGATATATTTTATCTCTACTTATCGCTTTCAATTTCAAGATTGTTGTGTTATATTAAATCAAACAATAATGCTCAGACACTAAATTTTTATAGCGAAGGACATGACATCCAGTCAGACACAGCTATATTAGAGATAAAACACGTCTTTTGTAAACGAACAATCGTCCAATAATTATGGATTTCCATCCATATTTGATAGACGATCGTTCACCACGAATGGACGAACATTTACAAAAATATCAATAGACTCTCATCAATATTATATAAATAAGTAAATATTTACTATGGATAGACGTACATATAAGATAGACACTTATCCATAAAATTTTAAAAACAAAATAATAGACGGTCATCCATCTTATATGGACGATCGTCCATATACATTGGATAATTGAATTTGGACGATTATCCATATATATTGAATAATTGAATTTAGACAATAATCTATATACATTGGATAATTAAATTTGGACAGACGTCTACCTTGAATGGATGTCTCTCCATAAATTTTTAAAAGAAAGAATTTTCATTTGAATTATATATAGCTCGGAGTTGGCCTGACCCTATTTAGAAAGCAGATTTCGAACTAAAACTTTTTTTGTAAACGAAAAGTCAAAAATGTCATTATGCCAAATATTATATAGGCACTTGCACAGATTTTTCGCTTTATAAATTTTTTTGTACTTAATGCTCTTATTGTCAATTTCTACGTTAAATGAATGACAACAGTTTCTTAACTCTTACTGTTTTTCACAAATAAAATCTTTTTTTTCTTGGATGTCAATGAACGGGGCATCCAATAGGGAAGACCTTCTATTGAATATGTATCCCATTCATATAATATGGACAGACATCCATTCTTATTGTTTTATAATTTCATAATTTAAGTTATGGATGAACATTTATTCGAGGTGGATGCTCGTCCATAGAAATAGAGTTCATTGTTATTTTCTTACGAGATTGATAGACGGGAGTTCATTTGAAATGAACGTCCATCCAATAATCATGGATGTTCGTCCATATTTGATAGATGACCGTTCATTCACAAAAGACTTGTTAGTGTCCATTATTTTATTTTTAAAATTTTATGGATGAGCATTCATATGAGATGGATATTCGTCCATTGTTATTTTTGTGAACGCTCGTCCATTCGTGATGAATGACCATCTATTAAATATAGACGAGTATCCATAATTATTGGATGATCATTCATTCACAGAAGATGTGTGTTGTCTCTGACGTGGCCTTGTCTGATTGGATGTCACATACATCGGTATAAAAATTCGGTGTAAATTATCGGTGTCGGTAGTATTATTCTAAATCAAATACTTTGTCAAGTCATTTATTTATTTGAAGCCAATATGTTTTTTTTTTTTTTTTTCAGATGATTAAGGCTATTTATATTAGTTTGCGCATACTTCAACTAATCCCTTGAAACCTTAAAATTAACTACAGGATAAATCCTCCAGTGACCATCTCTATTAGTTGAAGCCAATATGTTGCTACATCACTTAATATAAAAACTTTGAATAAAAATTGGATATCTTGAAAACAAAATAAAATCAATCTTTCAAAAAATAAAATTTCCACCTTCAATTTCCTTATATGCTAAAAACGGATTTAACAAAAGGATACTATGAAATCTACAAATTTTTGTCAAGTCATTTATTATTTTGCAAAACTGTTCAAATTACCTCTTTTAATGGCTTTTAATTTCCTTGCAGACAAAGAAATGTTCAAAAAATCTAAAATCTTTTTTCAAGCCATTTATTATTACTATATTTTCACTTTTAACGGCTTTTAATTAATATTTTCACTTTATTTCTACATTATTTTGTTGATTTTCTATGAGGACATAATCTTATTCTTATTAGTGAAAGCGATAAAAACTGCAACTTTTATACGTGGCAACCATTTGTTGGTTGTGAAAAATGGTTAAATCAAACACCCGTACCACTATCAAACTTGGCTGCAAATTCAAAAATAAAGGCGGGGCAATATCGTCAGGATCGATTAAAAAAAAAGGAAAAGCAAAAGACCGGCTTCGAGTTTCGGTTGAAGCCCACAACAAACAGCAGGTGTCTCTCGTCTCTCTATATAAAACCTTTGAAAAAAAAAACTCTTGTTTCTCTCTCTTTGCTCAAGATCGATAGCCAGAGCGCGTAAGCACCAAACCCTAAAGTCTTATTTTCACCGAATTACTTCGATATCTGAAATTGCTTAGTTCTCTTGTTTCGAATTCTGTAATGTGATTTGTTGTTGTTACTGCTTTTGATTGTTGATGAGCGTTTTTGTTTGAGTTAACGATATCACATTTGAATGTTTTTGACTGTTGAAGCAGATCAACTGTGGAAATGAACTGGTTTAGCTTTGAATTACGTAATTTTGGTTCACTGTTTGCAATATTAGTCCGTGTTTGGATTTAACTTGAAAATAGTTTTTAACCGTCCAGTGTAGTGGCGCATTCTATTCATCATTCATTTGCTTTGAACAGGTTCTTCAATACATTTTAACACTTAAAATATGTCCAATAACTTAAAAAGTTTCTGATATCTTCAATAGTGGTCATTTTGAAAATTGCATTGTTTTTTATATTATATGTATTTCCTCTTCTTGAATTTTTTTTTTTTTAAATCTTTTTTAAGATATTGATATAGAAAATGGTTGGAACCAGTAATTCTTATGATTTTTTACTCTTTAATAGGCTACTGTTTGCGACAAATTTTTATGAATAATGTGTGTTGTGGATCTATTTACAGGCACGTGGATTATGCGGATTGAAATTATTGGACAAATAGAGTAGAATTGATATATTAAAATTATAAAGCTTACTTGCTACCAGGTTTCATGCTTTGTTGAAGATCCAATGCTGATAGCTTCTTGAAATAGAAGAATGAGATATTTGGTTCAAGAGGTGCTTAAGGAAGTGATTTATTTTTGTGAACATCTGACCTGTTGAGTTGGAGTGTAAGAACCTGTATGAAATGGGGACATTACACCGGAGGTTTGAATTATTCGTATATTTTGTCATTTTACTGTGATCCTTGATTGAGTTAAAGTTGTCGTATGAACTCTCATTTTTAATCTTCTAGGACTATCTTGAAGTTTTTATTTTAGAATTACTGATCTACTGCAGCCAGTAGCGTGCACACACTATGCAAACATTTTTTAATCCAGTTTCAGTTTTGCTTTGCAGCAGTCTTTCAAAAAGAACAAATGATAGTGGTAGACTTATTATAACTACTATTCTAGGAATTGTCTTTGGATTTTTCGTCGGTATATCGTTTCAATCACTTTCTCTTAACAAGGTATATTTGCCTCCATCCTAATGTACCTGTCTTGCAGTAGACACCTGTCATCAGTATTCATTTATTTTTTACTCTTGCAGATTCAATTACCGTCGAGCCTTACTTCAACCATCGAATTTGCTGTAAAAAATCAAAATCAAAACCAAATTCAAAATCAAAATCAAATTCTAAAGAGTGATCCCAGATATAATGAATCAAGCACTATTCCCAGGGTAAATATAATGTTTTTCCTTCAGACATCTTCTTATTCTTGGTTTGCTTATAATATTTGTTGCAAAGTGTTTACCTTGTTCCTATGTGATTTATTACATGATTCTGTCATTCTTTTTCTTGATTTACAAAAGTTAATTCAATTGGTACTAGTTTGATGCCCATGCACAAAATTTGGTTATATGCAACATAACCATACAAAGTAGTATTCACATTCTCTCTTAGGCGAATGAAGCTTACTAATTCTTTGTGGTTATTGTTTTTGACCCAAATCATTTCGAGTTTGATTATCTCTACAATTATCATCAAATCCTCTTAAAGGGAGTTATTATTTCCATGATCCTGTGTATTCTTCACTTCTATGGGTTAATTTTCTTGATATTATGTTGGTATCCCGAGTGGAACTTGCATTAAAAAGTAATAATCAAATCGTTTGATCTTAAAATCTTTGGCCAATAAGCTTTTTTCTTTCTTTTTTTTTTTTTTTTTTTTTTTTTTTTTTTTTTTTTTGTGCAAGTTTACTAGATGTGGTTTGTTTATCTCTACATTTTTTGGCCTTTGCACATTTCATTATGGTTTTGGTGTTTGCATTGAAGCTTTATATTCATTAGCTTAAAAATAAACTAATTTTTTTTCAATTTGATAATTGTTTGTGTTATTTATTTCCCAGATATATTGTTCAACAAATCCTCGTGGTGCAGAGTTATTACCTCCAGGAATTGTGGTGCCAGAAACTGATTTTTACTTGCGCAGATTATGGGTGAGCCTCTTGAGGTATGATATACAATTGTTTTTAATATATACAGTGCTTGTTAAGGGAAACCTAATACTTACCATTATGATATACGGCTAGAATGAACTGGAATTTTGAATATCTTTTTACCCTATTTGCTAGTGATAAGCATTGGATACAGCAATATTAATATTATTAACGATAAAGTTCTGATAGAAGGGTGATGGCTCCTTTGTGTCGATTATAGCAGCAATTAATCTTCTAGCATGATTGCTATATAGTGTACCATTGACATTTTGGGACTATATATTTTACAATTCTGCTAATCTGTATCTCTCAAAGGCAGAATCCGTAAAATGTGCTTTTGGGATATTCATATGGGTACCGCATAGCTCCCATGCACAGACACTCAAGATCTATGAAGTTTTTGTATAATTATCCAAGAATAGTGTTTATTCCCATGTTATCTGGTTCATTTAGACATTAATGGCTTTAAACAGTGAATTCCAGCTAACGTAGTCAAATTTGATTGGAATGGAAGCATTTGCGGGTGAATAGCTAATGGGAAGCATAAGGTTCTATGGTTCTTTCTTTAGAGAGATGTTGTAGTTTAGGCAAATGTGAGCATGTTAACAAATGATGAGAGTAATAGAGAATCCTCAAGTTTGACCTCTTTACTGATTGTGCATGTTGGATCAACGTTTTAGATTATCGGAATTGACTCAAGTAAATGCTCTAAAATTTGCATGTTCTGAAGTAAAAGCCTAAGTACTTGCTGTCAATCACAGTTGGTCTGAATCAAAGGCAAAATATTGATAGAATGGTTAAAAAGGTGTATATGAATGGACCATTTCATTCTTTTTTTCTACCTTAACTGATTTTTACTTCAGAGATACTGAGGTTTTTGTTACATAAATTTTGGTAGTTTTCTGAGGATTTCCAACTTTTGCTTTTCCACTATGATGGTCGGACAAGTGAATGGGATGAATTTGAGTGGTCAAAGAGCGCAATCCATGTTAGTGCAAGGAGACAAACAAAATGGTGAGATTTGAGAGCTACCAAAGTATAGAATAAGCAGCTCCTTGTTTTTATATGTTTTGTTTTCATGATCATCCATTCTTGAATTGCTTGGATTTATTGTCAGGGTTTTGATGCGATAAATCTTCAATTTAAGCTTTCATTTTCACATATGATTGGCAGGTGGTATGCAAAAAGGTTTTTGCATCCTGATGTTGTTGCAGCTTATGAGTATATTTTTATTTGGGATGAAGATCTTGGCGTGGAACACTTCAACGGGGAGAAGTAAGTTCTATTTTTCCAGTTATGATTTCTGGTCAAGTTTAACAGTCACAACTTTCTTTCTAAATTGCTCCATATGAATAACCAGGTATATTGAGTTGGTTAAAAAGCATGGGCTAGAAATCTCTCAACCAGGTCTGGAGCCTAATAACGGATTGACATGGCAAATGACGAAGCGGAGGGGTGATCGAGAGGTTCACAAGTAAGCTTTATAGCTCACTCTCTTGCGCTCTGTCTCCCTTTTGTATACACTAGACATTTATTTGATGAGTCTTACTGGATAATTCGTATATATCAGTTTTCTAAGACATGATGCATTTTGAATTTATTTTCAGGTTTACAGAAGAGAAACCTGGCTGGTGCAGTGATCCACATGTGCCTCCATGTGCTGCGTATGTTTTTTCTCTCACACACGTACATTTTGTATTAGTTTGATGTTGGCATATCTCAATTGGTGAGTTAACGTCATTCGTAATTATAGTACTTGCATGCTAGTTATTGACATGAAAAATCATGCTTCAGTGAAGAAGTGTCAATTGCCTATTGGCAATAACGGATATTTATGGTTCCTTATATACGACTTGTTAGTTGACACATTTTATTTGTGCTGCACAGTTACAATAACATCTTTTAACTCTTTCTATAAAAGAATGGTATATAAGTTCGATTATGAAAGAGCAATAAAAATTTTGTTGTCCTTAATTTTCCTTTAAGAATTCAATCACTCATATCTCTCTAACTATATGGCTCGCTTTCCTGGGCCATGGCTTACACAAATAGTCATTTAATTGATGCATTCTCTCTCCTTTATCCATTGCTGATATTATTGCTGCTGCCGGTCTCTCTCTTTCATCCACCAATTGATCCAATAGCAGACAATGATATTGTTTCCCTTATCTCAATCACTGCCTCCATAGAATTCTAATAGTTTTCACCAAGGAAAAACTTACAATGATTTATAGTTCTTTTAAAATTGATTGACCATAATTTGAGATTATTAGCTGTTATCAGTTGTCAGAAAAATAAGTCTATTATATCCATAAAAAACCGAATTTCTTAGTTCTGCGACACCTTTGAGTGATTTGGTCCCCAAATAAGTGGATATGATGAAAAGAAAAAGTTGATGTGATTTGTTCATAGTTGTAGTGATAGTGCATGGCAGTAGAGAGTAGTATTGGTAAGTGGCAGTGGGGTGGTACATTGTCAGCGGTGATGGTAAGCAAATGATGGTGGTTGTTTTAATAAGATGGGCCGTCTCAAATTTTCTTTTAAGACAACTTGATTGACTTTTATTCTATTCATATGAATGTAGACATGTTAGAGAGTGAGAACTTATTTTGCTATTGAGTTGTGGTCTGGTTGTCTATGTCAAAAACAAAATTTTGCATATAAATTATTCTTAAAAAGCGTTTTCCTATATCATTAAGATTCATTGGAGGAAGGAAATATTAAAGTTTCCCGTAATAAAATTATTTTCTAAAATAAAACTTCTTTGTAATTGGGATTTATTTGTTAGCATTTTAAATCATTGATGCAAAATCCCGTAGCAAAATCTAAAATAGAACTACCTTCTGATTGAGGTTTGTTTGTTACATTTTAAATCATTGATGCAAAAGTGGTATGTTCCATATAGATGTTTCTAATAATTAAGTTATATCTACAGCAATACCTCTCTTCTGTTTGTGTTTAAGATGTCTTCCTTTCTTTCAGCTTTGTGGAAATTATGGCTCCAGTGTTTTCTCGGGAAGCTTGGCGTTGTGTTTGGCATATGATTCAGGTAAGTTGTATTTTATGTGAGTGGTTAGATTGATTATAATTGCATTCTTAGCTTTGTACATCCATCCTATTAGATCAACAATCATTATTAGAGTTAACACATGCAAACGCTCTTCATAATTTGATGCATTATTTCTTCATAAAGGTGGGGAGTTCAGATGTGAATGACTTAGACTAATATAAACAAGTAAAAAGCCACCAAATAATTCAAACATGAGATTGCCTTTTAAATGAGTCATATATTACTTGTATACATGGTCACAGTGATTGTCTCAGTTTTCAGCAAACTGGTATATGCACAAATTTGATAATATGTGATTACGAGTGTCAGCATAGCTCTTGCCTTTCAGTATATACAGCTTTTGTGAAATTTTTGTTTTTCACCTTACAGCTAACCAAATTCTAAATTCTATGCTTGTAGAACGATTTGGTGCATGGATGGGGATTGGATTTTGCTCTAAGAAGATGCGTAGAGGTAAGTGGTTTTTTCCTTTTCTTTTTTCTACTTGAAAGTGGGTTATGTTTAGAATATGTATTTCTAGGAAATGGCAAGTAGCATGCTTGTATAATCACAATGGTGATTGTGGATATATATTCATGTGTTGGGTCTGTGAGGCCCTTTTTTTTTTTTTTTTCCAAGATCCAGCTGATCTTAGGCTAGTGCTTAATACTTACCCAAACATGAACCAGTTCGGAGAGTAAACTTATTCAGATGCAGCAAGTGAGGCAATCGTTCAAAGGATAAAATCACATGGCTTAAAAATGGACGTAGTACAAATGCTGCATGGCTGAGTCATCTTAATTGATTTAACCCACGTAAAACCTGTATCGCCTGGCAAGTTAAAATTGAAATCATTTTCTTGTTAACAAGAAATAATGTATTCTGTGACTTTGTAATACTTTTTCGTCACTCTTAATTTTTTTGTCACAAGAAGTTGGTAGAAGAAAGTAAAGTGCAAGCAGAATAATTGTAAGTACTCAGATAGTCATCTAGTTTGATAAAAAATTCAAAGATTGATGTTAAATTGGAAGAAAAGCTTGGGAGTGGGAATACTTACTCTAGTGACCCTATTAATTTATATAAGTTGCTCCTCCCATACATAGCATTCCAATGTCTGCTATAGCTGCTTGACTAAAAAGACATAGTGAGAAAACGTTTCAAAATACTGATGCTTGTTAAGTAAGTGATTCACGCGAAATACCCTTGTCACTGGTAAGAAAAGCTGAGTGGTTGGACCCTTAATCCCGAGACCCTATTGAGAGGAATAATTTGAATGTGAGTAAAAATAATAATTCAGGGCATGGGAGAAAATCTAATAACATCAATATTTATTTGGCAAAGTAAAATGATTACATTTTCATAGGCGCCTAGATGCATGACCTCTCAACTTAAGGTCAGGGTCATTCCACATACTGGCAATCTACATTGAAGACTATTCTAGAATCGTAGGTGAATAGTTACATTGCATACCTAATAAACCTACCTTGTGTATAAGATATAATCTAGAAAATTTATATACATTTAAAAGTGATCAATCTATATTTGTTCCCATCTAGGTGGTTGGTCTTATAAATATTTTGTAACTTGGACTAGTTGTTGGCCAGTTCTAGTTCATAATGCAATATCGATTTTGTTTCAGTGTACATACTCCTTGCAGGTTCTTGAGCCAAATATCTGATTTTTTTTTAAATCACCTAGAAACCTTATATTTGAATTGAATTTTAGTCATTGTTTTTTCCCTACAGCCTGCACATGAAAAGATTGGTGTTGTTGATTCACAGTGGATCATTCATCAAGTCATCCCTTCACTTGGGAGTCAGGTGAGTTATCTTCAACTGGCCATATATTTTGATCTTTTCTGCTGTTATCATTATACACCAATTAGAATTAAACTCTTTCTCTCTCTCTCTTCGTGCATGCACATGTATTTGTTGGGTTTCTCTGTCTGCTTCTGTGCATGAGACAAACTGTTTTAAAGGGTATTCATAATTTGGGATGGTTACTTGTAAAGTTTATTGTAACAGAAGCTTGTCTTAGATTCTTAAACCAAGTTTTCAATTGGTGAAGTAAAAGAAAATAGAGTTAAGAGATAGGGAAAGGATCTGAACTTTGGTTTTCTGTTAAGGGCGGTCATTGTGGAATTTGATGTATTTAGCCTCCACACAAGACCTCTTATTAACCAATTTGGTTAGAACATTCTGTTATTTACTGTTTGGGGTGAGAAGGAATAGGTGGAGATGTAAAATCTGATGTTATCAGCAAGAAACATGAATTTGATGTATTAGCATTATGACTTGTTTGACTCAAGTTTTACAGAGTAACTACAGTATGAAATCCTATATAACAGGTTATTCTGATTCTAGTTGAAGATGTCCCCTGCTTGTTAATTTTAGCAGTTATAATTGAAGATAGCCTGACATTGAGCCTTTTCAACTGCAATGTTGCCTCATTTACAGAAAGTTATATTTTTGTTATCTTACGGATTATGATATATGCATTTCCTTTTCTTCATTTCATATGTGGCATATTCTCTCGTTTGTCTCGTAGTTAGCTGTTAACTATAGTCTCATTACTTTTCTGTTAAATTCCAGGGTGAGTCGGAGAATGGGAAAGCTCCATGGGAAGGGGTATGTATATCTATGATGTTTTGTTTATCTACTTCAATGGTTTCTTCTTGGAGGAAGGAGAAAGGAGATGAAAATGTTTGCTCGTATCATATTGGATATATCAAGTGTAAACCTCAAAAGACTTTTTTGTGTTTTGTTAACATATTTAACTTCGCCTTCCTCCTTTCTACTTGCAGGTGAGAGCGCGGTGCAAAAAGGAGTGGTCTTTCTTCCAAAATCGTCTTGCCACAGCCGACCAGGCGTACTTTGCTCAGATGGGGAAGGGATAATTTTTGTGCAATTCTCTCTCTCTCCCTTCTCCCTTGTACATTTATGATTTTACTGCCCTTGAGGGGTGCTCTAGAGTTTGATAGTTCAAATGATATTCTTGGTCAAGGTCGCTCATTGTCTGGGCCACATTTTCTGTATCTTATAGATCATCTCAGTTATATAAAGAGAAGAGAAATTTATTTTGCCCAGTAGCTGATATTTTCTTTCAGTCTGGCTTTGGTATCAAAAATTTGTGTTCACCTATCGCTCAGTTCCTGACGTTTTAGGCCGATGTTTATTTTATTTCTCTATTTCCCCTGTATCAAGTCGGCTACAGGAATATATTGGTCATGCTTTCTTTAAATATAACAAATATATGGAAATACTTAAATATATAATGCAGCCTGGTTGCCAATCGAATCCAACAGCAGAAAGAGCAATTTTTCAAATCTAAGCAATGCTTTACTAACCAGCCCGGGATGAAATTTGGCAAAGTTATTAGGTCCTGAATTAACCTCTATTTTAAAAATTGGACCGGCCGGTCAGATCGGTCAGACTGGGATCCGGCAGCTTCTTTGGTCAGGTTTAGGTCTTAGAGGGGGTTTTTGTAATATTTCAAAATTATAAGGGTTACTTGTAATTTTATAGGGGTTTTTTGGAGATATGTCAAAAGTTTAGGGATCAATGAATTTTTGGGGGTATTTTTGAAACAAACAAAAATTTTAAGGTTACTTTGAACTTTTTTGGGGAATTTTTGTAATATATTAAAATTTGAGGGATAATAGTAATTTTTTAAAAATAAAATTATCATTGACGTCATTGGTCTAACTGGTAGGACCGATTGACCCGTGACCTGGACAGCAAAACGGGTTGCCTTCTGGTCTGAGTTTTAAAACAATGGAGTTAACCGGTTTAATCGGTTTGATCGGCCAATCAAACTAGGTGGTCAAAATTTTAAAATTCAGCAAATATACCCTTGAAAATTACAGTCAAGCTCCTATAGGTTTGAAATTTAACAACGCACTTCAAATACAAATTGGCGGTTGATTGGTTGGTAGCGGCAACACACTAAATGCAATTCCAATAATCCCCTGAGTCATTCTCCAAAAAATCTACCCAAGATCTAGTTGATTTTGATCAGATCTCACCACCACCGGTGTCAACAACCCTCCTCATCACCACAAAAATACTCTCCTTAGCCTTCTATCCAAAACCCATCTCACTCCACCCCCGTTCGTCTCGCCAATTGCCGACAAAAGCCAACTGTTGTTGCACGGAAATCACCTCCGTCATCACCATTGTACTCCTCAGTCATTCCTCTTCAAAATCCCCAACATCCCAACCTTCAATTGTTCACCGATCACCATCCCAATTTCTAAGGTTTTCGATGGACAGAAAAATTGCTAACCCGGCTCAGTGAAGGCCCCAGGTCTTGGTTGAACCTGTCAGGCCGAGCCGAGTTTTAAAACAATGTATCTAAGCATTCATGTGGAATCATGGTAGTCTTCTATGTTTAGACACTATAAAAGTTCAATTGTTATATAATTCCTTTGAAAAGTAATGTGAACCTTAATCAGAATTTTGGTTCAATTCAATTATTAGAATGAATGTTTTCTCTCAAGGTTGAGCATTCCCTTTGATTTCCTCGGTTGTGCCATCAACCTGGGGACTGTTTGTTTCATTCCATTAGCCTGACGTCACATTTATAAACTACTTATTAAATTGACTTTCTGTTTACAATCATGCAGTGGTGTATATTTTTTCATTTCAACCATAGAAAACGCACCCCAAAAAAAAAAAAAATATTTGACTTTGAGAACAATTTTTCGCCTATCAAATCTCTAGAAATAGCATCAATGATTAAACAAATAAAGATGGGCCATAAATTTAAAAGTATTTCATTCACTTGTTATAGAAGAAGAAGATAAAAATAGTTTATAAAGTAGTTGAACTCTTGTCAAAATATTTTCTTTTGCACAATTTGGAAGGGTAAATTTCCAACTTTTCAACCATATCCATATGTACAATTTCTCTCCAACAACTTAAGCTTATATACTAATTTTCATGTCAATGCCTAAATTAAAATCTACCAAAACTGTTTCGAAATATATATAAGAAGAGCCAACATCAAGGTGATTGGTAAAGAAAGAAATTTGCCTGGAGGTTGGTTGTGGTGATGGTGATGTCCAATTCAAAATGGAATTATTTGGAGTAAAATTGAAGTTTTTCATACCAAACATAATTGAGCTTGAGGTTGGCCAAGGTCTCGTTTTTTTGCTTGCATTGGCAGATATCTCACATTCATATTCAAATAAGAAATGGTTGTTTCACCTTCCTGCCTTATTCCCCAAGGCTTTCTAATTCTAGACATGGCTGTTAAAGCTTTAAATTTTAATTAAAATTTAAAAAAAAAAATTATTACTGATTTAGAAGATGGTATTGGACTAGATTTTACTCAAACCATAACATAAAAATACTTTATTAATTCAATTTAAGAAAATTTATAAAAACACAAAACTCATTTACTATGGAAACTATTGGGTATGTTTAATCTATTATTGTGTTTAAAAATACCTAAATGAAAATGATACAAACAAATAAATAATTTAGGATTTTTTTCTACTCTAAGGTTTAATCAAATAACAAAATGCTCCCTGATATTTCGGAAGTAAATAAATTCCCTTATATACAATATTTACCTAATTACCCCTGTTCCGTTTATTTTAACATAAAAAACTAAACAATAGAGGTATTTATGTTATTATTATAATCATAAGAGGATTTTTGTTATTTAATTATATTTAAAAGAGATTATTATTATTATTATTAACTCAAAAGAGAAAAAGGAATGGTATTTATGTGATACAAAAAAATAAGAGTATACTAAAAATAAATTGTATTTGCCACGTGATTTTTTTTTTTTTTTTTTAAAAAAAAGGTATATTAAAATAATTAAACAGCGGTAGGCACCAACCTCTTTTTGTTATCGATATTCAAAAATAAAAGGATCGTTGCCAAATTCAACATTCTCACACAAGCCAAAACTACAATCTCTCTCACACACTCTCTCAAACACAGAGCTATCATTTCATCTTCCACCTGAGGATCGCTGTAACTTGCCGGACTCTGGTGCTTTCGTGGAGTTTTGGGAGCCCTATTCAATATAAATATATCTTCTACATTCATTTCTAAGTTTTGTTAGCTCGTAAATTTTAAATTTCTGGGCTCCTAAAACTCCATCCTTTTACTTCTTTTTAAGGTATGTACGTTAATCAACCACAACTTGTTTTGTTTCTCTATCGTAAGTTAATTAAATTTCTGTAGATTGTTTGCACATCGTCTATATATATATATATATATATATACAAAGTTGTGCGGTGCCATGCATATAATGCAGGCAATTCTATATCTTCTTCATATATATGATTCATTCAGTTTTTAGCTGCTAAATTATAGTAAACATATTATCCGTAAAATGGGAAATGAAAATCCAGTCATCTGGCTGTGTATACTTTAACTGATACAAGAGAATGAAGCAGCAAGAAATTGACATAGTCACCGGCCGAGGATAGATTTATTAATTAATGACTTATTTTACATTGCAAACTTCTAAGAAACCGGCTTTTTGATGTTAAACTTTATTTATTAATTATGATACAGAGGATCTGTGATGATTAATGGCTAGTTGCAGTGTATATTTTTATATGTCTCTGACGTTTTTTATATTGTTTTTGTTAATGAAAAGATATGGGAGAAATGTCGAGCTTTCAGTTAGGTGTTATTGGTGCACTGTTTCTTTCAGTGGCATCATCCGTCTCTATTGTCATTTGTAACAAAGCTTTGATGAGCAATCTCGGCTTCCCCTTTGGTAACTCAAAATACGTTTAATTAAATTGATAAATATTAATTTGAATAATACATGCCTTCTTTTTTAATCTTTTGCTGGTGGTATAGCAACGACGTTGACCAGTTGGCATCTGATGGTAACATTCTGCTCTCTTCATGCTGCACAACGATTTCACCTCTTTGAAAACAAGTCGGTTGACATGAAGACTGTCATGCTCTTTGGCATTCTTAATGGCATTTCTATTGGACTTCTTAACTTGAGCCTTGGATTCAACTCTGTTGGATTCTATCAGGTTAATTTACTAATACAATGTAATTAGAAGATAGAATTCCTGTGACTGCAATTCCTCGTATTACATTGGCTTCATATACATTTTTTTTTTCTGTGGCAGATGACCAAACTTGCAATTATACCATTCACTGTGTTACTGGAAACAATCTTCCTGAAAAAACAATTCAGGTTACATATATATCTCTTCCCTGGTTAGAATTTCTGAAAGCATGAGTAATTCTCAAGCGTTAGTTCTAATTGAAACCTCTGATTTTTCATATTTGTTGCAGCCAGCAGATAAAAATGTCCCTCTTGGTCTTACTGCTTGGGGTTGGCATTGCCTCTGTGACCGATCTCCAGCTCAATATGGTCGGCACAATCATCTCTCTGCTCGCCATTGCAACCACCTGTGTTGGTCAAATTGTATCCTTTATTCACAACCATTTATATTAATATTTCCAAATTATTAATATTCTTAGTGAAATTGTTTCAATTCTTAACCAAATTCTGAATTCAGCTTACTAACACAATCCAAAAGAGGTTGAATGTCTCATCCACACAGCTGCTCTATCAGTCAGCTCCATTTCAAGCAGCTGTTCTTTTTGTCTCGGGCCCTTTAGTCGATCAGCTCCTCACCAAACAAAACGTCTTCGCTTTCAAATATTCTCCAATAGTTTTGGTAAATATATAAATTTCCTACCTCCTACTTTCCTATATTCAACTGAATTTGTGAAGATTCCCTAGAAAAATTATAACATGATTACATTAAAACAATTGCAGGCATTCATCATCCTTTCATGCATTATATCAGTTTCTGTGAACTTCAGCACATTTCTGGTTATTGGCAAGACCTCCCCAGTTACATATCAAGTTCTTGGACACCTCAAGACCTGCCTTGTTCTTGGCTTTGGCTATACACTTTTACATGATCCATTCACAGAGAGGAACATCATTGGAATTTTAGTTGCCATTTTTGGTATGGGATTGTATTCATATTTCTGCACTCAAGAGAACAAAAAGAAACAATCTGGCGATTCATTGGCGTCTCAGGTAATGTTTTTGGTGGTTTTTGATAACAGAAAAAAGGTTTTTTTCTTGAATGATTACTGTGTTAAAGTGAAAACTGGTGTTGCATGTTTCAGATGAAAGATCATAATGAGACAACAGCACTCTTGGGTCATCAAGAAAAAGAAGGTCATGAAGTTAAAAAAGCAGCCAAGAATTCTGTCGTTTGAGTGGTTAAGATTTTCATGTATTAGCAATGGCTTCTTTTCCTTGATTACACCTTGGTTGAGTGTAAATGATTTTATTCTTTAAATAACTAATTAAACTCCCTTTTTTTGTTTCTCTTAAACATTCAATCATTTCCTTTTACCTAATATTTATTCATAGAAATGGACTCAAATTCAGAAATAATGGTTGTCAGTTCAGACCATTTGGCCCATTCCAGAGACTCAAAGCTTTATTCATCTGGTAAATCAAAATTAATGGTGGAGACAAAGCATGGGCATATCATGTTATGAAATGAATTTAAAGAAAGTAACTTAAAACAACATATAAATTTAAATATCTATCTATTCTTACCCAATTATTTAAGAAATTGTTAAATTAACCCAAAAAAAAAAAAATGGGTGCAAAGAAAATGATTTTTTTTTAAGCTTAAAAGGGTATTTTTTTAATATTAATTGACGTTTAAAAAATATTTTAAAACTTAAATGGAATGTACTAGTAAGGAAAACACTAAGCTCGTTAATAGCATAATATCGTTTCCCTTACCTTTACGAGTTAAATGATATTTTTTTTTTTTTAGGTTTCTGAAATAATAAAATATCTTTGTCATTAAATTTTAGATGTTAATATAAACTGTAGAATGACAACTTGATAAATATTCATTAACATCTAATAGTGTAAGTTCTTATGGTTTACTAACAATTCATTAACATTAAGGGAATTTTTGTTATTTCAGAAAGTTGGAGAAAATACTTGTTATTGCTTCAAACTTCAGGGGGTATATTTTTAAAACTATAACTTGACCGCAGAAACCTGTATGATGCTAGGCCCACTTTAATTGGACCTGAAATCCATTTCAACAGCCCATTAATTTCATAAGAAATGCCTTGTTTCAGATCTTGTTTTTCTTCTTCACAAAATATGCTCTGTAGTGTAGATTCAAGAGAATACTACAAATTCCAAAACAATCTTACAAGCAGACAGAGAGAGCACGTTTGGTTTTAATAATCAGAAATTTTGCCGAAAGTCTATAGAAAATATATAAGGAATGAGGTATTGTCTTGACAAATATTATACATGGCCAGGTACGTACATTATGTAAATTATTATATAATATAGTTTTGACTGGTGAAATTTCCAAGGTTTTGGTCAAAATTGGCCCACGAATCCCCAAGGAATGGTCTTGGCATACCATTTGTCATATTGTGACCCCCAACTTGGCATTTCCGAAAACGACATAACATTTCTTCGTATCCACGAAATAAAAAGTTTACAGAAAAATCATACTCTAAAAAGTTTACTGGAAAAGTATGCATTATATATTGTTATTATAAGGTATGGATGGATGATTATTTTTTGTCGACACTCAACACCATCCCAACTACGACTAGAAGGTTAAACCATTTAAGTCGGTCCCTTGATGGTAGGTTTGAGAATTGAGTTTTCAACTCTTTTCAAATTTTTTTTCTTTTTTTTTTTTTTTTTGGATCTAAAATGTTAGCCAAAAACCCTTTTATTTATTTTGTGGCTTTAATTTAAATAAAGAAATTAAAAGCTTGAGAAATTTAGATAAAAGATGTTTATCTTAATTTCAAGAAAGTTGTTATTTATTTAAATATTAACAAATATATCGAATTACACCATAACATTTATTAAAAAAAAAAAAAAAAGGCATGAAATTGTTTTTTTTTTTTTTAACTAGGATGTCTAGACCAGTTTACATGCATTTCACAGTCAAGTTCATATGTTGGGTCATGCCTGTTATTAGAAGTAGTTGTCGGTTCTAATTCCTCACCCGTTGGTCAAACACTCAGCTTAATTGAACCTGGACTTCGATACTATGATATAATTTGAGGTGGGTCTGACTCCTCACCCAATAAGGCTTTGTTGAATAAGAGAATTACACTCTCTTATAAATCAGTAGACTTGAGCGTGCCTAATCGGTGTGGGACTCCAACATCAACCCCTGGGTTAACATAAAATCATATTAAAAAAGCATAATTTAATGAATTATGGGTCAGTCCAAACCCCAAAGTAATTTGTTTTGAAAACATTGGAAAAATGGAAGTTGGTAAAATGGAAGCATGAAATGGATAGAAGTGTTTGATGTTTTTTGTTTCCTACAACGAAACATGTATAATATTTGTTTGATAATGTATTACTTTCCATATACAAAACATGCAAACCATTTATATCATGCTTCTTCTCTTCAATTTACCAATTCCCATGTCTCTCCAAACTTAATACTATCTTTTATTATAAATAACCCACTTAAAATAATGCTCTTTACTTGCTTTTAATCATTCCTTAATAGGCACGTAGTCACGTAGCGACTTGTGGGTTCAATTCAACTTTTAAAAAGTATTAATGTTTTATAGTTTTTACAATTTCAACCTCAGTTAACTTCATGTTGAGCCCACAAAATAAATTATTAATTAATATTTTTTTAACTTTTCTCTTCTCTTCCTTTCCTCTCACTTTCTCTCAAATTATATTTTTCCTTTTGGTTAAATATTCAAGAAAGATTACTCTTTTGGATTACAAGGTAAAATGATACTCATTTTATTTTTACTTAAAATTCTTTTATTTTAGCTTTCTTAATTGATGAAACATCATGAGCCATAAGTTTTTGTTGAGTTTAATAAATGAGTTTGAAATTGGTAGATTAAATTACTGTATTTTGATGTGAGTTTTGATTTAATCTTGTCCATATTGAAGTATGGGTTAATTAGTTGTTATTTTAAGTTGGGTTTGATAAATTTTGGTTTATTATTAAGTTAATTTTTAATGATTTAAAGAATTGATGAAACCCCAAGTTGTACAGATTTGAGGATTATACAACATTTTCAGAATATAAAAAATCATCGAAAACAGTTGTATTTTGAATCTTCTGGCTACGTCCTTGTTCCTTATCATACTTTAAATAGTAAAATAGTGGTAAGAGTTCATAAGTGTCAAAATGTGGTTATAACTTATAATCAAGTAGATATTTGTTCACTATGTCCCAAATTCATATAGATTTGTTCTTTTTTTTTTTTTTTTGGATAATCAAGAGTGTTTGGGTTAGCTTACGTGCATCTAAACTAATCTTTCAGGACCCTGAAATTACTGACTAGATAAGAACTCTAGTAGCTTTCCTTATTAGGAATCAATGAGTAACTCAAATTAAGGATCTCTCTAGTAATACATCTAAAAGTCTTTATCGAACCATTCGACCAACTAGAGGTAGTTAAATGGATTTGTTTTTTAGCTTCACGCAAACAATTTTGTTATATATAACCCATCTACTTAGTTAAAAACTCAAGTTTTATAAAGTTAGACATGGGGTAAACATCATGAGATCACCTTAGTATATACTATATACATAGGATGTTGAGAATAAAATTTGAACCATGTGTCAAATATTTATTTTTGTAAATTCCCTAATCATTAAAGATAGGTAAAACATTTCATTCAACTAATGGGTAATACTACATTATTACAGTATAACCTCTATAAATTAATATTTGGAAAATTAATAATCTCTATTATATAATAATTTCTTACTGTCATGACTTAGGTTAGTAGGTTAAATTAATAATTTCGATAGAATAATATTTTTCTCGAAAACTTTACATAACTATATAGTCCCATTCATATCATAAATAAATAATTTGCTAATTGCCTATGATATTTTGTTAAAATATGATTATATTGTTACTTTTTTTTTTCCTTAAAATTTAAATATTGTTGGATCTCCTCTCTAATTTTTCTCATTACATTAAAAGTTTTGGGGTTGAATTCTCGAATTACAATAAAAAAGTATTGTTAATACTTTGAATCTTGTTGGATCTGGTCTCTAATTTAAATGTATGTTCGTTGAATCATAAATATATTCATAAATTATTAATTTATTAATTTATCTATTAATTAATACCTATTTTAATTAATAGAATTTATATGGTCACAAGGTTATTAATTTGTACAGGTTATACTGAATAATGCAGTTTTTTTTATCTTAGATTAAATTTTTAATTCCTAAAATAAAAAAAAAATAAAAAAAGATAAAACGGATTAAATAACCCCAAATGTAGCTAATACATAAATGAATAGATATAGGTATGGTCCGTATGGATGTGTATCACGTAAAGATTTTATCACACAAATAAAAATAAATTAAAATCACAGTTAGATCATATTTTCAGGTAAGCCTACCTTAAAGAATCACGTTGAATTTAAAAAGGCGGGAAAAGAGATAAAAAAACAGGTTGGTGATGCGTCTCAAAGTAAAAAACTGAAATGATTGGTCAGAGGGGCCGGCCACTGCCGAAAGTTACTACTTACTAAAGTATTCATTTATTTTTCCAATTTTATGCATAAAAAGGACCAACCATGCAAAATTAATACAGAGATCAATTATGTAACGACGTCAGAGGAATCATTTTTTCATGCATGAATTGTCACTATCAAATATTCATATCTCACTCCCAGCCATTTGGCCTTTGGCTTTATCAATTTCATATGTACATAACCGTTACTTTGCCTAACTTATATTAATCCAATATTCATCTACATTAAATCAATTATTTAATTTAAGTAATTATCTGGTAACTGTATCAATCATACTATATTTTAACCCAATTATTGAATTTCTTTTACTTTTTATTTTGTACTGATATGTTATATTATCTTCTAATCAAAGCATGGAATAATTTCATACTACCATTAACAACTTTATATGTTAAGTACTACTTATAATTTTACTGGTCGTAGGCTACTATAAACTTTAGTGTTTTAAGGAATTTTAATTAGACTCGTTAGATTTTTTTTTTAATTAGCTGTTAATTAATCATTTGAAACACCAGAATTACTGATCAGATAGGAGATCTAATGACTGTCCTCATTAGTACTTAAAAAGAAACTCGAACTCAGGACCTTTCGAGTATTTATCAAACCGTTTGGCCACCTAGAGATAGTTGTTATACCATCAAAGTTGCTTTTAGTCTTTTAATGAATTTTAGCTTTTTTTATTTTTTTTTCCTTTTACCTTCAATTAAAAAAAGTATGTTGGTTTGAAATGGTCATTCAATATAATTTTTTGTATTTTCAAATATTGAAAATAATATAAATTTATTT